ACCAGACTCGTCTGCGAAGATAAAAGGGGTGACGGGATTGATTAACGCCAGAAACTTTATCCTTTCATCCTTTATTTTTGAANGGGGAAAGAGTATCTTAACTCCGGTCGAAATGAGTAGCATGCAGCAGCAATACGAAGAGCGTCGGATATCAGTATTTTTGAACATTTATGGGTCGTGTGAAATTAATTCTTTTCTCTGTATTTGTGAAATGGGCGGAGGTGGTGTAGTGGCAAGTGGCACACTATATCGCACACACGGTCAGGGGTTCGAATCGCGGATCGATGCCCGCGTAGGCCAACCGAGCCTCCATCCATCCGGGGTCGGTGAATTGGTACCAGACTCGTCTGCGAAGATAAAAGGGGTGACGGGATCCTTTCCTTTATCCTTTCATCCTTTATTTTTGAACGATTGATCAAAGCTCACTTTTAGCTATGGGTTTGCCAATTTGAAGAAATTTGAGGGGCTTTGCCCTGACAAAGCCATTTCTTGAAAGAGCACTGTTTTCGATTGCGTTGGATTTTCTCTCTAAGGCTTCTCTACTAACACTGGCGTTTTCTAGGAGAGTAAATAGAGCTTCTCTGTCGAGTTATGGTCACTGCAAGCCATTGTATAATCCTCATAATTGTAGATACTCATTCAGATGGCACAGCGTTTCGAGTGAAGGTCGAATTCGTAGCGGTTTCCAGAAAAAGACTGCCCTGATCAGTAGATTTTTGAGATCCCGCGCTGCACTGCTCTTTGCTTTCTGTCGATGTTCTTTACCAATTTTCAACGGAATTTCTTTCTTAGAATCTTAGTTTCCCTTATGACGTCATAATTAAGAAATCATTTATCTCTTTACAATATTTTATTTCTCTGGTTTATAAGAAATCTATGAATTGCGTTGTAATGACTATTCGACCCATACAATCGAATCATTGACAGATACGTTACAATGTGCTCTACAATAAAAAAAAGAAATCGAAAAAAAAGAACCCAGCATGAATAATGAGATGGTCCCGCGACGACAGAGCCACAGCATCCCGAGCTACTGCAGTATAACGTCAAAACGGGAAGGAAAAATACAAAAACCATGATGGATCCTATGTGGGCGCTTATTATTTTACGTCAGTTATCAGATCCACCAACGATGTCGGCACACTGAAAGATTGAGGTCTTTTAAAAAAATTTCAATAAATATTTTTTTTCGAGTATGAACGCCACGCACCTATGTCATGGGCCTAGTGTCAAGCATGGGGCAGGTGAGAATTTTCTTCTGCAAAATACGATTTCACTTGAATTTTCTTCAAAATGTTCCGCCAACTCCTCACCCCAGGGCTACTATTTAATTGAATCCCGTCTAGCCATACGCAATACTACGGAATTTTCTGATATGTAATGAGCAAGTAGCTGAATATTGTCATTTTATAACGTTTCTATAAGAGCAATCACAGAACCCCGGTAGGAATCTGGACTTCTGCGAAACCTGGGTCGATACTTCCCAATAACCCTACGTAATGGTCCGTTACAAGCCAGGAATGTGAAAATTGGTTTGCAAAAATTATTTTTGTTGTGCTTGGATACCGTCCGAACAAATTTCAGCTCATTCAGGGAAAAATAAACGCGATGTGAACAGGAGAGGAATTTGTATCCCCATTTGATTGACTTTCGATGAACGAACCGTATGGTCATGACGACAGTTGTACTAGACTACCGGATCTAGTAGTATCTTCTCAAGAACTCCGTCCAAGAATCTAGAAAATTGATGTATTTCATGGCCAAAAAGAAATATATGAGTTGTTAGTGTGTTGGCAAGAAATGGATTGCCCAGTGAGTCGAATGAAGAATAAAAAATCCATTTTCTCCAGTTTTTGGTTGATGCCAAAATCTGATCTTTTGTTAGGGAAAGCTGTATGTTGATAAGGGAGCCCCTTTTCAGAATCGAAACCAATTTTGGTTGATCACGTTCTTCTCATCAGAGTGAAGATCTGGTAGCGAATCTTCTTCAGACAGTCGAGCTGACGATGGTCTGTAATGCACGGCAATTCAAAACTCGTGAGTTTTCCTTACAGACTATTCGACTATGGCCATTGCATCCCTTCAACGACAAGAATTGTAAGTTCTAATTTCAAGAAGCAATTCAGTCACAGATTACCCATGACCAAACCTTAGAGAATGTTTAAAGCGACCCTCTGATTATCCACAGCGGCACCCTGAGGTTAGAGTAAAACCTCCAAGCTATCTCAAAGGCTCTTGAAGAAGGGGAGAACAGAGCCGAGGGTCGACCACAGTAACAATTCTACTTGATAAGCTCTCAACGATTGAAAACCCAGTGGTGGTGGAAAGTCATTTTTTNTTTTTTCGAAATCTGAGACCCTCTAAGAAATCCACATCCTTGAACTTTCATCAACACATCTTCTATAGTTATTATACGACTTTAATTCACTTAAACTCCCTATTTTCTAATTTTCTATTAAATTTACAAATCGATCAATGAGTCCTACCTCTTTGGAAGGAGAGCTTGAGATGAATCGGATGAAATGAGTTGTACTACACCAACACCTGGTTTCACATCAGGTAAGCAGTCGAAAATGATACAGCAGATGAGTGTTGAACGATCTGTAAAGATTCTAAATACCCACATGAAAGTGAAGATTTCTTGTTTGACTGTATGAAAGGTTCCCATGAATCGCCAGGAATATTTCTCCAGGGCAGGTATTCGGACTGATCCCATACTCATCTACGTATCTTGAATCTGACTTTTGCTTTTCGTAGTTAAATTAACCGCACACCCTTTCCATAGGATAAAAGCACGATGATGCGCATCATAACTACTAAATGGAGAGGATAATGTTCTTTTCATCGTGATCACAAATGAAATGCGTGGGGGATCCCAAAAAATGGTTCATTGATGCCCAGCTAATCTCGGTTCAGAGTCGATCGCGATTTCTTCCCTCTGAGCAAAACCGATAAGGCTGAATGTTAGGGTTTCGAGCAAATCTACAGGATGGTCCATGAATTCAGCTTTGATTCAATATAGACGCTGGAAACATTTAATTATCAGTGAGTTCTGAAGGCCACTCATCACTTAAACCAATAGCCAGCTATTCTTTCTGACTAATCTAATCGCTTGCCGAAGGGCTTCGAAGAAACGGAACAGTGGTCTGTGGGGTGGGACGAGTTCAAAGCCGCAATCCCATCCCGGAACAAAATATTAGAGTCAGAAGGCACCTTTACCATTACCTCAAATGGGAGATTACCATAAAAAATTGAAAAAAGGGGGTAAATCACCGTAATCTGTCGATGGCATACTCAAAACTAGAGTGCAAAAAATCCCTTCGATGCCTTTATGTTTGAATAGAAATCTATCAATTCCATTGAAAGCTTACAATTAAAAAAGGGGGTAAATCACCGTAATCTGTCGATGGCATACTCAAAACTAGAGTGCAAAAAATCCCTTCGATGCCTTTATGTTTGAATAGAAATCTATCAATTCCATTGAAAGCTTACAATTTCACTCACCGTTGAGGACGTGAAGCCAGGCCGGGAGAATATTCGGATAGACAAATAGAAAGTAGAGGGCAAAGCCAATGAGACATATTCCAATCGCCAACGCAGTGACCGAGAACTCTTGGATAATAGGAATTACCACCAGAGCAACGGTAATGGCCAGAAAAGTGTAGATGCTGAAACGGAACGAAGATCTACTTTTGTCAGAAGGAGTAGATACACTAGCACTTGCCATCAATGGGACTCACCACCACAATGGCATTCGGATAGCTTCAGCATGAACGGGAATTCGATTGTGTCGAATAATAAGCAGGGCGACGAGGGTGAAGATACGCTGTGCCCAGAATCCGAACATAACGTAGTTGATCAGGGCGTCCAAATCTCCTACAAACGATATCCCGATCGCCAGGAGTGCCTGAACAATCAAGGCTTTAGTGATATAGTTGAAGTCTATCGAGCTGTTTGTCTTCTTCCCAGAACGGTTAATTTAATGAAAACTTCATTCGACTGTGAAAATAGCTCAAACAGAGCTGGCTTCAAAAGGACTGACCTGAGCCATTATGGCCACCCTAGGCGAGTCCGTGGCCGCATTCACACAACTGAAGCAAGTCGGAAGATGCCCCTGTCGAGCGGCTGCATACATATATCTGCAACTGGTGACTAGATTCCAGATTAAGCTCATTCCGGTTTATGTTTTATAAAGGCTTTTCCGAAGGTCCCTACGTGAAATAAAGTCATACGTGACTTTAGCACAACTGAAGCAAGTCGGAAGATGCCCCTGTCGAGCGGCTGCATACATATATCTGCAACTGGTGACTAGATTCCAGATTAAGCTCATTCCGGTTTATGTTTTATAAAGGCTTTTCCGAAGGTCCCTACGTGAAATAAAGTCATACGTGACTTTAGTCACCTTCAGGAGTTGTTAGTTTAAGTGCCATCGCCAACAGCACTATTACTGGGTACTCTGGTGTGAGCGATTTTGTTAAGACGTGGCTGTGTGTGTGGTTTTTATTGCCGACCTGCTGCCCGAGAATAGATTGCTGTTGAGCGATCCCACAAGTAGCACACCAATCAGAAACGGAATCACATTGGAAAATGAGCCCAACGTCGCTTGACTGAACAACTGAAACAAAAAAATGTTAAAAGCATTCGTAAAATTAGTTACTCATTCATTCATTGTGCAATGTGTCATTAGGTACGGGACAGGAAATGGTTCAGAGCATTTACATTTACCAACCACTACCATAAAAGCTACTGAAATCTCCCTTTGATTTACCAGATCCAGAGTAGTCTCAGAGTCTAATTAATGGATTCGGGGAGCACCGCCCATTCTAGCGCTTGCTCCGCCCATGTATGGCTGCTGCTTACAATTAGACCATGTGTGTCACACATTTCCTATGCTTTGCTACCTTTTTAAGACAAGGCTGCCGAAGAAGTGTTCTCAACGGACTTTGAGCCTCAACGCCGTTTTGTGCAAATTTTCGCAGCGTAAAGCCACATCCTCTTTCCATGTCGTCAAACCTTTTAGGTAGCTTTAGAAAAAATTTAACGAATCGGATTCATTAATGACCTGAACCTATGCTCCTACCTTACCAGAACAATGAACAACCTAAATCTTGCGTCTGTTGGAGGAAAAGGAAATGACTACACTCACAGCTGCGACAGCGTTCGATGATTTGACCGTCTCCACGTCTAGCGCTACAAAGTATGCGACGTTGATGGAGACGTAGACCGCTGTCACTGTCAGAATTCCACCCAACAACGCAAGTGGAACGTTCCTTCAATGATTCGTATGAATTAACGATGGGCACTATTTTGTACTTTTTTGATTTTTATGAAACGTCTAGTCAAATTCATTACTGCTAATACATCTACTTGTAAGCATAATTCCCGAAATCATAGATGATCATAGATGGTTATCAGCATTCATGCAGAGAACCATTTTATTCTTCTTCACTTAATTCATGTAAACAAGAGGACACAAAAGGGTCAGTAGAACTGTTGTTGGATAAGCTTGCTCATAATTTATTTATTTATTTGTACACTCAACTGAGTGCGCCAATAAAGGGAATGGATAATGCGAATTTTCTGGAATTAGTTCGTTCCCATGTACACGTATAGCCTTGACGCAATGTGCTGCTTTCCAACTGGAGCTCCCATTAGGAAATACACAGGCGATTATTTACGTCTACAGAAATTATTCACCTCCTAGGCCTGGCGATTTCTCCGGTACTGTAGTTAAGGACGTCCCATCCAGAATACGCCCATAAACCGCCATAGAAGCCCAGTATCATGTCACCCGGTTTGTAGTTGGAACCCTTCATTGGATCTCGTAAATTGGACGTCCATCCTGGAATAATAAGGATTTTGATCAAGTGGAAACACAAAAGATTAGGTCAGTTCTGCTGTTCCTGATCTGATCACAGAGCATCAACTATTATACGACTGAAGGACGAGAACTGGCATCTGTTAGAATCCATTAGTAGGTGTCTTCAATTGAAGTTGTTGTTGAATGAATGAGAGGGACCCACCAATGTGCAGGATGTTGCGTTGGGTCGGGTCCCCGCCCATATGTCCTTCATCATGGGCAGTTATTCCGATAAAATCATAAAAGTCTCACCCTTGACGAAATAGAAATAGAGCCCTGTGGCTATGATAAGGAAACATGAGGCAAGTTTTGCTGCTGTAGCAACAATTTGAAATCGGCCAGCAAATTTGTTCAAACTGAAGAAGTTCATCCATGTGACCATCACTAAAATAAAGGCTATATAAAAAACTGTATCCAACCGGGCTTTATGGTGAATTTTTAGCCTGCCGAATGGGTTTCTACAGCATTCTCAGGCTCATATTCCATGAAAAATGGCCATGTGGAAATCTTGAATGTATATACTTTTCTTGCGATACGTTTTGTGATGGAAACTCTTTATCTACAATTTCAGGAGATAAAACAGAGCAAAAGCACTTTGACGATCGTTCATATAATCAAGGGGCTGAACAGACTGATGCTTTCAAAGTGTTAGCACTCACACAGTAAGCTGAATCCGAACAACTTTTGTGCTAGCGGGGCCCAGTCGTCATCAATGTCGTAAACCTGGAAATTTGTCAGTGCATTGAAAATGAATAAATAAATAAAGGGGCTTCTGGCTGGACTCTTCTTGTGCGGTAGTGAAAAAGCTACTGCTCAGCCTGTAAAGTCTTATGTCTAGTTACTGATCTGTGGGATACCTAGAAGACCTGGTTGGTTCCCAAGCATTCTTCTGAATCCTCACCCCCCAGTCCAGACAGCATTTTAAAGTGGAGCCATATGATAACAAAAGAACAGCGGACAGAAGTTCATGGAATGGGAAGAAAATGAATGTGATGTGATTAGCTTTCTGTGGTGGATTAAAAAATTGCGGATATAGAGAATGACAGGCGGAGAGACAGCGAGGGAACAGGAATGAGGTGAAGATAAGCTGAAAAGACAGTGCTGGAGAGGAGAGATGAAGAGCAGTGAAGGCATGAACGCTGAGAAAAAAGGTTCCGGATTGCTGTTGTGCAGTAATGAGTAACTAGAATGTCAGAAAAATAAAATTGGTTGGTGTTGAAGACATCACTGACGCATTGCCTTCCGCCCATGGATCAGTAATCTCGCAAAGATGAAGAAGAAAAGTTTGGGGAAAGAAAGAAGTGTGCCCGATATAGTGAGGTTAAGGCCTTCAACTTGAATGGAATTTACATTACATTAAAGTTAAATTGTTGAGTAGTAAGTGAAAGGTACTGTAGGGAAGATATAGGAGAAGGACAAGGAAGAGGTGACAGAACGGCACGACGATTTGAAGGATGAGATTTTTAGTCGGTCAGGACCGAAATGGGCATTGCCTGGGATAACCACTGATTACAATTACTCAATGGAATACCTGTCTTAAGCCTTCAACCAGATATTGTCCAAAAGTTTCGGATATGATTGCTATTGTAGCTGGATATGTCATCAATACCGAGACGAACATAAAGGCAAAAGCAATCGAGTACCTGAAATTATTTCTTTTGATTAAAATCGGCTTTGATTTAAAAATTTTATGAAATTTCGATAAAGAAATGATTTTTGAGGACTTCTCCGTGTAAGAGGCGAAAAAAAAGTTCACGAGTGAAATATTTTCGAAACTGGGAAGAAATTCAAAGGTCATGTCAGTTGGGACACGGAAAGGTCTGAGATAACTTTTGGAGTGAAATGCTGTAGGGAATCGGATTGGATTGTTCTCAGAGTTTCAGGCGCCCAAACCGTTCAGGCTTATTCATTCTGAACCCAAGTTATAGCAAAGTTTAATTAATCTTGAAATTTGGCTGTATAACAGCGATATACAATTACAGAAATCCTTTCCTCATGAGTCCTGGCAGGTGCATTGACTCTGCTCAGCCAGTCGAGCCAAAACTCCGGATTGGGGCTTACTGATTGAGATGTTGTACAGATCCAGCTCTACGAANAAGCCGCTCCGGACAATGCGGTGTGTACGGGGAAGGTGTCTACTGCATAAAAATGGTTTGCAAAGTTTAAAAATGGCGACTTTGACCTTGAAGGAACGCCTCGAAGCGGACGAGCTGCAGAATTCGACGAAGAGCATCTGAGGCAATATTGGAGGACGATGGTAGCCAAACAACTCGTGAATTGGCTGATTATTATGATAATTTGTTAAATAATTCTTTATTATAATTATTACTATTTTTTCAAATAAACTTTTGTGAAAAAACTCCACGAACTTATGTTACAACCTAATAGGTTACTAAAACACTGTTGAGCCGCTGTTCTGAGAATTCCGTGCTCTGAGAACAAAACCTGCTCTAGCATCGACCTACAACAGAGCAAGCTTTGACTTCGTAGCACGTTTTCGGAACGAGAGAGTTATTTCGGGAGGTGGATCTAGTTTTTAGTCTATTACAACATTTACAACATGCGTGGGGACTTTATCATTGTCTAAAATCTGTGTCACTTCACTTTATAAAGCATTCTCCTCATATTCCGACCATTCACACCACAAGCTGTCCTACGCGATGGTTACGGAAAGCTCTGACTATCGTTGGAAGCTGCTATTCTGCTTATTCAAGCCCATGTCGGTTGTTCAGCTCCGGCCCTACTTGACCCTACTTCCTTCGACTGGTGTCATTCATGATAATTTGGTAAGTTTGTTGCAAAGTTAGTCTGTAGGAGAGCCCTTCAGGTGAACATCTTCTCGAGAACCATTGATATTCGATCTATAGAGGTGGAAGTATTGCAGTGGAGCTTGCAGTATAGAGATTGATGGCAGGCATTGAGTGATGGATCAGGCTAACAGTGCAGGTTATCAGAGGTACTTTATCACCCTGCAGTGTTTGTTTCCTGCAGGAGGGGGAGAAGGTTGTACTTTCAATTTGCATAACGCTTCTAAGTGCATGTTCCATCACTTTCGCCTTCACCCCCTCAGAGCTATTGATGAGAAAAAGGTTCCAAATGATCACGCAATTACGAGGCGGGGCAGAATGCATGGCGCACACACTCGAGACGAATCGCTTTCAGGATCTAACGACGTGTGTCGTTTTGAATCTGTTTCCATCGTTTCAGTGTTCCCGGTACAACCAACACACAACTCCAGCCACATACCGTAATCCACAAACCACCGCAAACTTCGCGAATTCTTGTTTTCTACCACTATTCGACTGCAGTGGAAATGAGGCAGGATAGAACCTTTTGAAGGTAAACTATGAGTCCAGGAATGTCCTCAGGCTTTCATTCAGAANGTAATCCACAAACCACCGCAAACTTCGCGAATTCTTGTTTTCTACCACTATTCGACTGCAGTGGAAATGAGGCAGAATCATCCTTTTGAAGGTAAACTATGAGTCCAGGAATGTCCTCAGGCTTTCATTCAGAACCGTTATGGGATTTCTATGGAAATTTGGTCTGTACAATGAGTTCTGGGGAAGGCTCTGTAGGTAAGGTCGACCTTCACCCTCCCTATGGGCCAGATAACATTCAGCCCATCTAGGAGAGATTTGACGCTCGGCTGGATAGCAGTCCGAGCTTTGGTTTCCGATTTGCCCCTGTGGCAGCTGCACCGCTTCGCGGCTTCCTAAGTTCCCCTATTCGAAAGTAATTTATTTAAAAAAAACTAGAAGAATAAAGAGAAACTTAAGGCAGGTTCCTTTCTAAGTGTACCTCATAATGTGCTGAAAAATACCTCACCATTTCACATAGCAAATGTATGCAAAGTCGCATCCGGCTTCTCTTATTGAGGTACCCAACTCGATGTAGACCAGAGCACCTTAAATTAGTATATATAGAGATTTCAATGTGATAATTGGGAACAGGAACTAAGAATAAAAACTCCTAGACTCCTAGAATACAGGCCAGCCATAGCCCCGTGAGTTAGACTACTAGTGGGGCTGACCTTGGTAAGCGGGGCTCATCTGAAAGTCGTTGACCAGCACCTACAGCGTCTTTACCTTCCATTCATTTTTAGTATCTCAATTAATCAAGAATTACGCATATCGATAAAACTAAGGTGCTTTTTTCAGGGTAAAAACCTCATCTGATGGTCTCTCCCTAAGACCTCTAGCCAGTTGGTCTCAGGGTTATGTGATGCTATTCCAGGGGGTAAATCACCAGAGACTGCTCGGAAACGCAGGTGATTTTAGGGTATAAACTACCTTTTCTGCTGTTTCGAGTCGATTTATACCGTCTATTCAGCGCCGCTCTAGCTCTAGAAAACTTCATGCAGAATCTCGAGAGAGCAGCAGAAGGAATGGTTCCTTGACCTCTTCCTAGGGAAGAAAGTCTATGATGAGGGTGAATGAGAGCCGTTATGATCTTGGAATTAAATATATCCCTTACCGATTAATCCCTGAAATCTGCCTTACGTCCAGTAAAAATGAAAAAATGAAAAAAGTAAGAGTTAAAATTCTGAAAACTCTTACCAAGTATGGCGATCAGAGCACAGGCGACCCATACCAGTAGTGACAACCCAACGCTATCCGTACACCTCAAAAGAATTCATGAAATTCAGAAATGAAAAAGAAAATTATACTTGGAGTCTCAAGGAAAGGCAGGATCATGTCATCGGTTTTCGAAATTACAAGTTCCTCGCCTTCCCAAATTAGATTCTGCATGCTGGATTAGAAAAAATGCTCCCGAAGAAATCGTTTTGTATAGGGTTCAAAAGATGCCATCGCTTCAGTAAATCTAGATCGCCACGCTTTGCGATCTTAGGTGTTCCAGATACGTTCGTTCTCCAGTTCTTGCACTTCGCCAAGCTTATAAGGGATAAAGATTCCGTGCAAAAGGCTGCTAAGGTCGCCGCACGCGGTGACCTAGTTTTAGCACGTCAATCGCAGCGGCGTCTCCTGGCCAGTATATAAGACTACATCCGAAAAAAGCTCATTTTCTAGGTGGAGATTATCAAAATATTTTTCAAAATTATTTCAAAAGGTAAGCGTATTTTCAAATACCTGAGTATTGAAGCAGGTGTAATGAATATGCCCGATCCAATGATGTTGCCAATCACATACGATGTAGCACCGAGAACACCCAATTTATGTTTATCATCCATTTCTGAAACCATAACAAATGACTGGATTATTGCAACAAAAAACATAGCGAACAGTCACGTGGAACGATTTGCTATTGCGTCCCGTTTTTATAGCCAACAACTCGTCCGCATGTTGCATTTGCAGCTGTTGAGGATGCATTGCCTGCTTCGAGCATAAGCTTGCTACAGAAACCTAGGCCTAGGAACACTCTTTGTATGAGACCACATTGAGTAGATGACGGAAGAACTGGTGAGTTTCTTCAAACTCAAGCAAATTGAAATGCAATCAGCAATCATAATTGTTTCGGAGGATACTGATTCTCGCCCAAGTCAAACGAGCCTTTCATCTGTTCGGGTCTTTTGAATGGTAACAGAGACTCGTTTAGGAGAAGAAAAGCACTGACTTGCACATCTGCTGACCACCGCAAGCCATTCATAGTCAGTCATAAGCTTTCAAACCACAATTAGATTCTGAAGAGAAGTTAATAAACAAGTCGAAAAAACGTCAGTTAAGCCTTTGAAGAGAAGCAGGATAAGTCTACTTTGGTTTATGATAAATGAAGAAAGATTGAAAGGACATCGAGAAGCACAGCAGAGGTGTGAGGGTGATGATCCGTCATGTGATGGAGCAAGCGTTGCTCGAGTAGAAAAGCTAAGGCGACAATCTTGTGCCTCTACTTATCCAGACAAATCTGAGAGGTCACGATCTTCATAAGTTTATAGTCAGCAAAGCAAAAGACGGAGTAGGGTCGCAAACGGATTTAGTCAGTATAGCGACTAGATCTTGGATTTTTTTTGGTTGGAATAAATTACCAAGAACGATGGCTTTGCCAAAACTAGGTTACCGAGTCTATGAGCACTTTTATATATGTATGTACTGCTGTAATACATTAGCTCTTGGGTATCATGTGGTGTACTGACGTCAGGACTACTTCTGTTTTTTTAGTCGCTCTAAGGTGTTATCAATAAATTTCTGAAGAAGTGCTTGACTGCAGCCATTTATTCTTGAACACGTTCCAGAGGATGCTGTGATAATGAGGCTTAGACCAGGCTGATCCCTGGACGTTCTTCCCCTGGCAGCACGTCCACAGTTTAAACTTGATAGATTTCCAGCATGTGGCTTCATTGGACGACCACACAGTGGATGTACTCCCGAGTGGGACAACACTCTGATGAAGATATCAATCAGATTTTTTTGCTCGGCATCTGCGTGACTCTTAAAGGCCGACGTGCTCGCTTGTGCTAATGAGGAAAAGTAGCAGCTCTGAAGAAGAAGTCAACAGATTCCTTTATCATTTTGAACAAAGCTAACCTGACTTACTGCCTGGAAGTTACCCAACACCTAAACTCCCTTCGTGCCCCCTAAAGACCATGCCAAGAGCGCGGCGTGCCTGACACTTAGATTCTCGTGCGATTTTCGGTCCCCTCCTGGAGCTGGACGTGCCGTGAGGCTCCGGTCGAGTTAATGGGAGGTTTTACTTGTTCTTTTTGTGAGACGATGCCATTAAAGAAGACAAAATACCTACCATTACGCTTGACACTTGCACGCCATTTGGCATCGCAGCAGTTTCTTTACGGGCAGTTTCTTGGAAGTGTTTGCTTTCGTTTATGATGGAAACATTGGTGTACGAAACGAAGATTCCCACTCCATCGTGGAGTTGCTTACACTTGTCATTTTCATTTCATAGTTGGCAACTTGTCAAATTTGATGTAAAAATTCGAAATTTGGACAAAGAATGAACAAAGAATGAAAAGAAACTCTACTGAATGACTCACAATTATGAATTAATTATGAACTTAATTCAGAAGTTGATACTCATAGACCTTGAATGAGTCATCCTGATTTCATAGAAGATGCCTCAAAGGAATCGTGGCGTATTAGCATATGGAAATGAATATTTTTCCAATTCGTTCGAATACGAAGTATTTGAAAAGCTATGTTTCAATAAAGAGTTAAACAATCTCCCACACCTTTTGCTCTGACGGTGGAACAGATCAGCATTTTAGCAAATGATAAAGGCAGGGAAAAGGAGATATAAAAGTCAAAGAAAATCGAAGCAAGAAATATAGAAGATTGCTTCAATTTTAAGTAAAATAGTGTATTTTCTGGCTAGGTTGAATGAGAAGCCTCACTATGTAGGTAAACCCGATGCATAGTAGCGGTTAAACGCTGAGGCTCATAATGTACAACTATGGCAAGCAGTTTCGAAGCTTCCGATGAGACTCCAAAGAGGTGACGAAATCGAGCTCTCTAAGGACCGGCCAATCGAGGAAATGATCTCGACACTGCGTGAAGCATATAACCTCTGAGTCACGCACGGAGATTCGTGAAAGATTACTAGATGTAGCGCCAATCTGGGGAGTTATACGGGGTTAGGATCGCACTAGAATATTGTATTCCTGCATTTGGAATTCTGACGGTCTATCAGATGATCTGCTGAAGCACCACAAAGCCGTACCACAGAATGCTATTATCAAGGATTGATATGGTGCGGGAGAGATGGACCTTATTTTATGGGTAAGGAGTGGGATCCCACATAGGTCCAATTGTGATATCAATTTCAGAGTTCCATGAACAAGTCAAAGGATGACCCAAAAATTTGCCCGGAATGCTTCAGTGGACTAGAAACATGAAAATTCTGAACAGAGCACGAGTGCATATCCATAACAAAGCCGATTCGTGAAATCATTCCGTTCAGACTACATAGTAATACGAAAAAGCCATGCTAGAGTCATGAGACTCACCTGCTTCAGATCTTGAATTAGTGAGAGGCAATGTCGGCGACGAATCGCTAGGAGTGGAAGGGGATTTGGTAGAGTCAGAATCCATGATAGGCACGATTCAGCCGTCTTTGGGAGGATAAGCGGATGAAGGGCAGATAAACGATCGGAGTACGCGAAATCACCCGAGCAGCCGATCACTACAGCTTTAATATCAACAAGTACGAGACGAAACTGCTAGATGGAGATTTATTGATCTCAAAGAGCTGATTGATTACCCTCGTGGTGTGTTGAGGTATGTGTACAAAGTGGTGTTGGAAGAAAAATTGAGGGGGGAATCAACAGCATGAAGAATGCTCAATGGAGATTGGAAG